GTCCTGAAAAATCATGTGGGCCCATCTTCACCCAAAGTGACCCGGGTCTAACTGTGTCTAACAGAGTTTCAAACTAAGAAAACAACAGAAAGAAACTAATGACGAGCATCAACTGACGCCCGGGGCTCTCATAAACTAAGAAAACAATTACAAGTCTCAGACTCAAAAAGCCGTTTTAATAGTTGGGTTATGGAATGGAATAGAATAATTTACATGATATCTAAAAACCTGAAAAATTTATTTTAAAAAAGAAATACCCACTAGAACTAGAAGTAACATTACATTGTGACAGTCAGAGATACATGTATAAATGCAAAACATGGAGAAGTAGGCTGCGACATACAAAGAATAAAAAAATCTGTATCCAGAAAAATAAAAGAGGTTCAAAACATTTAAAATATTTGATGATGACAAAAAAATCTGTATCCAGAATAGTAAAAGAGGTTCAAAACAGTTTAAAATATTTGACGATGACAAAAGACAATACTGCATATTAAAAATAGAACACCTTGAGAAAGAAAGTAACATTTTTTTTGCCTTTGATCAAAGTTTTTCAGTAAAATCCAAATGTTTCTTATAACTATTAGTGGACATAAAAAGTATTGAGCTCAAAAGAAAAACAATAGAAAAAAATTGCCAGACGGGCTGAAAATTGTATATATATTGTACTTGATTTCAATATTTTGACGAGCCCCTGATTTCACCACATTCCCATACACATGTTGTTGTTCTTGTTGTTTTCAAATCCCTTTAGCTGCGATCAATTTGCTCTTGGCAGCGCAATGCCTCTCTCAAGTAACCACATGTCCTTGTCATCTGGTCAATGCCAGAGTAGAGCAGACTTTGTAAGCTTGTAGGTGTGTGTAGGTCCCATACACATGTATGTGTGTGCGTGTGTGTGACGTGATGGAAAGATTGAGGAATGCCACAATAGTATATTAGCAATATTGATATAATATAGTTGAAGATAAATAACTCTGCCCCACAAAAAAAGTTTCTTCAAAACCAAAAGACAAATAACACTTGTATCACTAAGAAAAGCATGTGATATCCATCTTTTGTTTTAGTAGAGGTTTTACGGTGCTCGCAACTGCATAAGGTCATATGAGCAACAGAGAAGTCCTTATAGGGAATCAGACTTACTCTGCTCACCTCTCTAGTTTCAACAGCATAAAGTCTGCTTTGACTATCAAGGCACCCCGGAAATAGTGGGTCACAAGAGTGTGACAAACATACAAAAGAAGAAGAGGCAAATTTCGATAGTAAGGATTAGGAAAGAAAAAGCAACAGTTCCCTGTTGCAGTTCAGGCACAGTTATGTTCATGACATTGTTGGATCAGCCCATTTACAATTCTACTGTGCATTAGAACAAGAAATGTCCCCCCTTTGGGAATGGCCTAAAGACACTTCAACTTCAGTCAGTGGCACCGCCCCGGGGGGGAGGGGGGGGTGATATCCATCTTTATAATGCTAAACTATTTTATGTGAGGCATCTTTGTGAAATCAGGCATTTATTAAAATGATAAAATCAAAGAAACCAGAATAGGCCCTATTTTGTTTTTTGGCAAAACACCTTTTATGGGGAGACGTACACTCCCGGAAAAAATTTCTAAACGAATGACTTTTATTCACTTTCATGTAATTGTACAAGAAGTTCATAGGTAAATAGGATGTACTAAGGGTGAATTTGCTTCTTTTTTTTTTTCAAAAATGGGTCTATGTGGCGGCCATCTTGGATTTTCAAACCAGTTTCTTAGTGCAGAAGAATTTCATAGTAAATATTGAATTATCATTGTCAGCCTGAAATTTGGCACACAAGTACAAATCTATATGGACTGGGGATCCATGTGAGGATTTTGACCTATCTTTAAAACTAAAAAAGTGAGCCCAAATTCAATGGACCCCTGAGAGTCAATTGACAAAATTTTGGGGTATATATAATATTATTAAAAAAATTGAATATTCTCAAAAGTTACCAATATTTCCCAATTCCCTCACACAGATCCCAGAACAGATCTTAAAGCACCTGTACGCCAAATTTTAAGCTTCTAGCTTCAGTAGTTTTTTAAAACTCCTTGCACCAAGGAGGTCACATATGTCAAAAAGTAGATTTTGAGAAAAACAGAAAAAACAGGGATTTTTAGGGCCATTTGCACTTTTCAAACGCCCTTTCAGGCCATTTTAGGGCATTTTTTCAACAGTTTCGTCATTGTGACCTGATAGAACAGATGTCAAAGGATGTTTTTCCTCAAAAAACAAAAGTTGGGTAGTTTGAAAAATTTTATCTATAAATTATACTGTCTGGGAACGCCGACCCGGGTCTTCCCTTAAGTCCATTCAAAAATACATTTCTGTGTGGATTTTACTGAAAAACGTTGATTAAAGGCACAAAAATAGTAAATTTTCTGTGTTGAATGACTCTCATGCTCTCAAAGTCATCAAACTTTGGCAGCCATTTTCTTGAAAGTTACCTCTGAAACCAGGCGACCCCCATCTCCATCAATCGCAAATATCCCGACTCTCAATAGACTGGCATTTTTTCATCAAAAGCAAGACAAATGAACAAACTTAAGATGATACTGATACCAATAACTCAACATGCCCAAAAAGTGATGAGCACCTGATTCCACAGCATCGTACCACATATGATATCCATATCAGAAATATATCATAACTAAGGAAAAATATGAAGAATCAAAGACAATCCTAATAATTTATAACCTGAATAGTCATTGAGACATAAATCAGAAGCAGGTACAATAGTGTTTTTAAAAATCCCACAAAACATATGACTATTACTTCAAGTTCAAGACATTAACAAGTTCACATTGTTGAAAGGAGTCCTTATAACTGAAGTATATCAATATGTCCTATATTGGTAATGGAGTGAAACAGGCACAGTAGCAAACAAAATATAAATCTGAGGCATCATGGTGAAATCAGGCGCTTGCCAAAATTATGAAATCGAAGATAGATCTATAATTTTTCCTCCAGTTTCAACTTTTTTTTGTTGCTCATCACCTTTTATGTCCTTTAAAAACACATTTCTGGGCCAATTTTACTTTTTAAAAAAAAGATTAAAGGCACAACAAATGTAAATTTTTGGTTTCCAAGGACTCTAAAGCTATTCTGAATGGCGAGTTAAAAGCATTTTAGAGTTACCAAACTTTGGCAGTCATTTTCTCGCTAATTTTACCTCTGAAACAAGGTGACCTCCACTTCCATCAATCCCAAATATCTCAACGACTATTCAGAATAGATGGATATTTTGTTCACCAAAAACAAGGCAAATGAACAGGCTTTAAGATGATACCAATAATTCCATATTCCAAAATATTGACGAGCGCCAGATTCAACAGTGTAGTGACACAAATGTGTTTGAGATAAGAGTTGCACTGGTCTTCATTTTATGTCGAAGCTGATGGCACAAAATGCCTGTAACTAATTAGGAAAAATGCATGTCAGAAAATGCCAGCTGCAGCAGTGAATAACACAGAGAGAAAAAGCCTCCGTAATGCATTGTGATGTCAACATAAGCCCAAACAGGTCAAGAGTCTCACATAAAGAATGATTCATATGTTATGACATGGGGAAATCAGGGGCTCGTCAATGTTTGGGCATATATTTCTTCGATTTCATCTTTTGACAAGCTCCTGAATTCACCACGATGCCTCACATATTACATTATTAATATATTCTATCTCCTGAGGGTATGATGCAATTAATTAAACTTAATATGCCAATCATCCATAAATCATCAAGTTCCAATCTTAGGTGGTCATGGCAACTATCATGAGAACAAGGTATGATACTCATAGTCATATCCTGATGCAATAGGTTATTTTAAAATAAAACCTTTCAAGTTAAAAGAAATCAGGAATTTTTTTTTTGGGGGGGGGGGGATGTTATTTTTAAAAATGTCTATATACATTCCTGAGCAAATACTACTGTTTACCAAGAGGAATAAATCGTGGGCTTATGAAATTGCATTCAAATTAAAACTAAGTTCCCTCACAGATATAAATAGAAGGCAAAATGAAAGTCACAAAATTATTTTTTTTTTAAACTTCACTTAAATCGAACTAAACATATTGAAATTAAACATCACTTCGAATTTCACAGCTTCAGTGTACTAAATCTTTTTCTAATGTTAAAGGAGAAAAAAGTGGAAACTCTTTGATCTATGGATTTGATGTTGACTTTCTAAAAGTTCCTTCCTTCACAAACAGCTAACACGTAAGAGGCAACACCTATGTTTTTTCAACATCCATCTCTGATAAAAGAAAGAGTCAGTTTCAGAAAGTCTCACAGAACTTCCTTTAAAAAAGAGTACAGTGAAATTCCAAGCAATGGCTGAATTCTAAAGTTCTGAAATACAAGATCAAGAGCTGAATCACTGCGCCATGCACAGTGAATAGACCCCCACACTTAGCTCGGGAAAAAATATAACAGGAAAGTTAACATTGCATTCAAATAGGTAAAGACACTTTAAAACGGTAAAACTAACATGTTTTGATCCATATATTACATAAAAAGAATAGTGTGGCAGTGTTGTCTCAAAGACATCAATGACCTGAGTAAAAATACCGCAAAGAAACTTCAGTAAAAATCCCTACTGGCAAGTCTATAACATTATTAGGAAAGTGGAAGAACATGTTATAGCATAATACAAGGTAGCAAATATGACAGACTGTAGAGACACACTTATGCAGAGACAGGATAAGTTACAAGGCCAAAAAAGCAGATAACAGGAATAACTATTCCAGAATACCGGTAAACATGGAGTAAAAATATTTAGAACAGATCTTTGCAAAGAAGGCATTATCCAAAGTAAAAAATGCAGGCAGCAGCTGCGGTCATAGTGGCAATGTTGTGTAGCTGGTCGACGATGAAAGCATCAACAGATCGTTTTGAAAACAGGGTATGGGGAACCTCTAGTAAAGTCACCAGGCAGGAGAGACCAACTGCAAACTTAACAGCATCCAGGGCCACCTTCACTTTGAAAAAATCTCTGCAACAATTAAAAAATACAAAAGTGAGACCACCACACAAGACAGGGATTATGACTGCACAAAACACACCACACAGTGGAATGGCCACACACAACAAAATGAGTAAAACAATCACACAAAAACACAGTCAAAGGGCACATACTCATTTCATTACTTCTAGTGAGAAGACAATATATTTTATTGTAATATAAAAATAAATAGTTCAACGAGATATACAGTAGTCTGAATCAAAGATCCCACTGCTTATGATCCCATTTCACTGAAAGACCTGCAGTTTTAAGATAACATAATTTTATTAAATTAAAGTGAGCATTAAAATCCTCCTCAAAGGGACTAAATTCTACTTAGAAATACTAAGATTTCAGATACAGTAGTCTCCGCCTAAACGCATGGTGCTCGGGAGGGCTCCTTAGCGTGTGTTTACACGGAGCGTGCGTTTACATGAACCTTAGTAAAGGGAGGCAGGGACGCAGTCATCTCATTTCCTTATTACTCTAGTAACCTCCCTTGGGGGGGAGGGTGTCATTTTGGCAGATAATGTGACGACACGTGACTGTTTTATGAAAGATTCCCCGACTGGGGTTAAGAACACAAAGGCATTGAATGGGGGGGGGGGGGGGACAAACTCAATGTAATGAATTTGCACTATAAACGTCGGGAACAGATAGATCTAGCCTAAGAGGAAACTGTTGGTGATAGTCATAGTCATAGAGATGACGGACCAGCCACGTGGCTTTCCAAGCGACCACCGCCGTAAATTTAAGCAGAATCATCATCGAGAAATATTTTCTCTTGTGATTCGTTGAACAAGTAGGCTACGTTATAAGCTAGAATCATAGCAGGCGGCACATTTTCATAAAGGCTTATTAGGCTTACTTGGCTAATCTTTAATCCTGTAGAAGCCTGTCTAGTGTTTTACGGCATTTACGCATCAGGCCTAGACTAAACATTACACGTATTCACTCAAACAAACTCCAGTCAGAAACCTTCTCTCAAAGATACATTTCTAGTGACCAATCAAAAAACATTTCAGTCTCCCCCCCCCCCCCCAATAAAATAAAAATTTAACGGACCAGCCCTAGACCGAGACCTATGCGTCAGTGGAAAGTAGGGTGTGTAAACGCCGTCTTTCCCTCTCTTTGCACGGCGTGAGGGGCACGCTCATCCAGTATCTGGTTCTCTAGTAAATTCGAGGCTTGTCTTATGCAGGCTGTGCAGGTTGTTGTGAAAATTTCCCATTGCCGAGCTTTACATGTCTCAGCGTGTTTCGCGGATCAGAGCGTGCGTTTAGAGGGAGTGACCGTGCGTTTGTACGTCTAAATTATATAGTAAAAAATCCGTCAGATGACGAAAGCGTGCGTTTGAGCGGAGCGTGCTTTTGTATGGCGTGCGTTTAGGCGGAGACTACTGTAATGATTTCTTAACTAAAATTAATCAGCGTGAGCACAGCTGATTTACTGAACAGCAGAAATTTGTGATGATTGTACTGCCCACTACAACACAGATCATCCGTTCTTTTAAATGTGATAACATCTCAATAGTAAATCTTGATGAGAGAAGACAATGTTTGCCCCTGAAACGATCAAGCTGAGGTGTGAACTCGTTGACAGATTCGTTTGCTCAAATATCACACTAACATTTTGGGCCATTCGCCTGAACTTACAACACACACTAGGTGGGTACGGCCTGCGAGGCCAAATCAGACTGGATCCCATTCAACTGAGAACTCATCGGTGTTTTTGTTTCCCTGACTATCGCACTTGTCCTTCAGCTGTGCGTCCGGATTTGCTAGATAGTCTGGAATCTTAGATATTTATGGACTGTCCAGTTGCCTGCATAATGTGGTCATCAGTTGGCAGGGAGCCTGCCTTACCTCTTTGAATTGTTATTGGTATTAGGATATGAACAGGGAACTCCTTCAGTGATGGAAAACTAAATTTAGGAGAGATTATGAAAAGGAATAGTGGAATCAACTTAGATCTTGAGACTCATTGAATAAATGAAAACGGCATGTCCCATCAAATTATAAAGAGACCATTGTAATTGGTCATCAAGGTAAAACACTCTTTGCTCATCATAAGAAATAAAGAAAGGGGAGATCATATTACCAATTGCGGGCATGGCCAAGAGCCACTCTCCATTCTTACCCTGATGAATCGGATAAGATCCTGTTTGCCTTCGACCTTGCATTTCGTTACTGCCATCTGAGGCTGAGACTACTGTATAATACAAGGAATGTTAATGGTCTCTACCGAGGAAGCCCTCGTCTTTTATGTGTCAGCAGGAGATTTTTAAGTAGCTCTGACAGAAAAGAGCCGGACAGTAGAGATAAAGCAAAAAAGTAGACAAGATACCTTCCTTACGCCAAAGAGGGTAGAACGAATACATTGTATCTCATTAATGGGAGAATTGCACTGTTTCCTTGGTGGGATAGCACAATGTTTATTTCCTCTGCCAGCCTACGTGTGTCCGTACTGATAGTATTTCTTTAAAATGTGATGCAGCGTGGTGAAATCAGGTGCACGTCAAAATAATATAAGAGAAGAAACTGGTATTTTTCTGTCCGTTTCTTAATTTCTATCGAATTCTTGTTTTTCGGCCCAACACTTTTCATGCCCATTAAAGAACACATTTCTCTGTTGCCTTTACTCAGAAACGTTGATAAAAGACCACAAAAAAAAAAAGAAGTAAATTTTCAGTTTCCATGGACTCCCAAGCTAAGGAAATAACTAATCTTTGGTAGCAATTTTCTCGCTAATTTTATCTCTGAAACTAGGTGACCCCTCCTCCTTCGTTCGCAAATATCTCCACTTGTATTCTGAATAGAAGGATATTTTTTTCATCCAAAGCAAGACAAATGAGCACGCTTTAAGATGATACCAATAACTCTACATGCCCCAAAATTGACAAGAGCCTGATTCCACTGCGGCGTAACACAAATATAAAATGTCGGAACAGAACAAAAGGATACAGTTGTTGTATGAGTAACTCCTTTAAACCCTATGCTGAATGGCGAGTTAAAAGCATTTTGTGTCTACACATTTTTCTAGAAGCACCAATGACATGATAATACTTACATCAAAATAAAGCGCAAAAGAAGGCTCATGGTGGCCGTTGCCACAACGCTGAGTCCCATGGGTATAGCACTGTCCTGTCCAATTTGTTCAGCTGTCTTGCCAGGGTGTGTTCGTCGCATCCACACCTTCCCCGTGGGCAGCTTAGGGGTGTACACAACAGCACCAATGATACAGTTCACAACAACTGACACAGCGACACCGAACATCTTGAGCCTGTTGGAGAAAAAGTTGTCATGAAATATCACTACTGAGCAAAGCTCCTGACACCAAAGAATGAACATCTTGAGTATGGTAAATTGCTGACATGGATATAGGTTTAATAGGTAATCCGGTAGACTTATCAGCTCCGATATAATATAATATCATATATATATATGCTTCATTATTATGGTTACAACACTATTTGAATATTATAAATTCAGTCGAACTAGCTTTATCAAGCATCCATCTAAGATAAACACGTCTACTAAAGACAACCTTCCCATTTCCTTCCCCCCTTGCGTTTTTTTTTCTGTTATAATTATTATGACCTTGTTGCGAGCATCACCTGTCTAAAACAACCACATTTTTCCTTGACAAAAGTGGTACCGCAGATCTATTCTTTACCAGTGGTATTAAAATCTATTATGCTAGAAATGAATCGTTTAAATATGGGCACCTTGCCTATAGCACAGTGGCAGGTTTTGTGGTAAAAGTGGAATTCTTTCCACATTTTTCTAGTCTAGTCATAGTATTAAACCAGCTAAAGAATATTAGATTACTGAATGTACTCTAACTTTGAAAACAAAATCATTACTGGGTCTAGATTCTGATCTTAACACAGTCAGCCAAAAGTAAAGTGTATACGTTTCTCAGAAAAACATCGAAAAATCAGATAATCTTATTTGTCAGAGTAACATTGTGTTGCATTGGAAAAACAATTCTTCATATAAATATATGCAAAAAAGTCTCAGCCTTTTAATTAAAGACAGAAAAAGAGTAGGGTGTCAACTTTTTTTGCTATCCGGAAGAAAAGTGTTTAACTTCTTGTAGGCCTACATACTTTCCATTCAACCATGTCAAAAGTTGATATCATGAATCATGACTCTAGATATCTGAATGGAATCTTTGCAATGTTTTTTTTAAAAATGCAAATCAAAAGAATTTGAACATGTTATTTCCGGCTCTGTACCCCAATTATACAGTCGGGCACAAAAAACATGAACACGGAAAACTCAAAACCACAGGTAGTTAGTACAATTTGCCATTCCCCGACTGATATTTCTCACTTAAATTTTTTGTTATATCATTAAACCCGAATAATGTGTGGAATACATTTGCCAATCCCTATCATGTTTGAGTTGTCCGAGCCTGACTGTATGATGTGCAGAAGACAGTACACGTGAAACTTTGACATGACAAAGTCGTGTTGTTTGATCTTTCATTTAGTTGAATCGGATGGTTTGTAGCCTACTGTCCTCGCGGTTTTGTGCAAAATAATTCTGGAATTATGCAAACTGAGCCCAAAATGTGAAATTAATTTTAACAAAAAATGATAAAGGGAAATAATCAGAAATTATGCGAAAAATGATCAAATTTTGCTAAATTATGTGGGGTGCATAAAACCCCAGGGATAGGTTATAGCAGCTCAATGTGAGCAACAAATTGCGTCACAATGAGGAGCTTATAATCGTCGCCTCAGAACTATTTTGTCCAAAGTGCCACTTTACTTCAAGTATACTTTGGACAAAAGAGTTCTGAGGTGACGATATGTTTGTTTCTGCGGACCATCACGCAATTCATTACGTAGATTAACATCTATGTCTAGAATAACCTCAAATAGCTGGGGGGGAAGGTGTGGATATGATTGCGACATGTCTCAATCTCATCAAACTTTCCATGCCCGAAACGCTTACAAACGTCTTTGTTGAATCCCAGTTCGCTCCTATGTGTTCGCTGAATCCGAGAGCTATTTTGTTGATTTTAAATAACGAAAAACTGCGGAAACTGCGTCTACTTTCTTTGAGTCCGAGTTCCACTGTACGAAGTAAAGTTTTGAGAAACCTCTAGATCTACTGTCACTGAACATAAAAGCTGTATAGGCCTACACTACACTGTTTCTATATCTTCGAAAAAAGCAGACTTTTCTTGATTTGTCTTTAGAAACAAAAATGGTGATTGCTTCTTGCAGCCTGAAACTTGTAAAATATTTTATATTTAAACTGGGAAGAATTGCGGAAAAGGAAGGAAAATTTCAATTCATAGGCTCTTCTTCTTTCCTCAATGGACAGATTCAACTCTTAAAGGAGAAAACCATCAAGGTCGCAGCATAGAGGTTGAAGTCATGGGAACTTCCCACTGTTTACATTAGTAGTGCGATGAGTGATCTTTTTGAAATAAAATTTTATTTTATTGAAAAAAATACAGAAAAATGATTTTGTTCATATATATATAATATGCACTGCAGCCTGAATTATTTAAAGATAGCTGGTACTGATTAGGCCTACTTAGCAGCACACAAAGCCAAGAACCTTGACAACTCATAATATAATATTCCTCTTTGTAATTGTCCTTAGGCGATACTATCATGTTTTATTTTAAAACAAATAATATCGAGGCCATCAAATAAATTTTTACTTTCACCGCCACACACAGATAAAACTCTTAAGTGCAGAAATTGCTATAAAATGTTGTTAATCTTTGTGTGATATAAAACTCAAAGAAAAACCATTCAATATTTAAACAAAACTATTCTATTAATTTGCAAGAGGAATAAAGTCGATACATCATGCATGATGTATTTCAGTAATGTAGTAATATTAAATACATAAAAATGAACAATAAAAAGGCTCTCTATAGGTAGTTGGTACAATACCTAGCAAACGAGACGGTACTAAACTAAAGAAGATTACATTATAACAAAAAATACAGAGGTGACAGATCCACACCTTTATTCTCAGAATAACTGTCATGTCTCCCTATTAGAGTTCTCACCCAGCGTGAGAAAAAAATCCATGTCTCGCTATTCTCACCAGAACAGCTGCCACCCGGGTGTGGGCATGTGGTGACGACTCCCCTGACCTCTCGCAGGCCAATAAAATCACCTCTAGAGGCCCTTGATGGCTTACTGCATTTGGTTGGGAACGAAACGAAAAAACATTTTTTGCCTCTCCAGTCCAGTTTAAAAAAAAAGGACTACCAACACCCCTTCCCCCCAGGGTCATTTCCGGTAAAACGAGGGGGTGAGAATAGCGAGACATAGAATAGATCTAGGTTATTCTCACCACTTCATATATTCCTTAAAAGAATAACAGTGGGCTTGGGGAAGAGATTTTTTTTATAAAAGGAGGGGTGTGTATGGATGAGGGCAGACGATGTGAGTAGCCGGAGGGGGGGGGGGGGGGGGGGGGGGGTTCAGGGGAAGTGAACTACTAAAATTCATATATTCATACCATGTCGATCTAGATTCTCTCTTGTGAAAAGTTAAAATTTTAAGAAAAAGGACAAAAAATGAAGAACAATTTATAAAAGCAGTCCTCACATAGGAAAATGTGGCACAATGCTTATGAAACGAACATTGAAAGTATTTATTTTAAAGATATATAGATATAGATATAGATCTAGATCTAAATATTAGATCTAGATCTAGATTTAGACCTAGATATCTAGATCTATATTGACGAAATGAAAAGATCTAAATCAGGAAGTAAAGTAGTGAAGTCAAGCAAGTGTGAAGCACTGTGGTGACTGTTCAAGCGTGAGACGCTCTCTTGCAGACCAAAACGTCTAGAATAAAATAATGCATTTGGACGAAAGTCTTCATCAAACTGTTAAATAAGAAAGATATGTTTGCAGTACACAGGTTGCATGCGCTAGGTTCACCTTCAATTCAAAGCACTTTGATCACAGAGCACAAAAGAAGCCACTCGTCGCGTATTCTTCTCGCTACTTGGGGAGCAAAGTTTTGTTGTTGAGGACGCGGAAGACAATGCGACAAGTGACGCCAAGTTTGTATTGCCAGACTTTCGCGCCTGGTGTGATCAGAGAGTGTAAACTCTCTGGTGTAATCAACGCAAATTATGGTTTACATGCATCAAGGAGGTAATAATTATTGGTAGGCCTAGGCTACAATTATCAAAATTACCTCTTTGACTAGGCCTACAAATGTTATTACATTACAACATAAGGCAGTACAAGTACTTTAGTAGCCTTGTATTTTTACCTCTTTGTATTTACACCAAAGTGAAATAAGCTGTCGCCAGTATGCAGGGCCAGTACGACAAAATAATAAACTCCAGAGCATCAACACTTTAACAGTCGCAGAGCTGTCCAAGTGGTTTTATGCACCCGCATAATTTAGCAAAATTTGATCATTTTTTGCATAGTTTCTGATTATTATCCTTTATCATTCTTTGTTAAATTTAACAGGATCGCATAATTTCACATTATTGGGCTCACTTTGCTTAATTAATAAAAATTGGGGGGTTTTTTGGTTCATAAAACCGCTGGGACAGCTGTACGGTGATCATAGGATGCTAATAATGCACTGTATTTTACACGTTAAACTTCTTTGTTAATTATTTCTGCATCTGATTGCACTATGTTGCAAAATTACTAAGGACTAAAAACTGTTTGATCGGTGTGTTAACTTCTGCCGACTTTGGTGAAAAAGTTTGTCTTCATGGTTAACTTGCTAAAAGACTTACAAATGAATGATCTGGTCAACCTCCATGTAATATGTATAAATGTGAGACTAAGATTATAAAGCCTACTGTAGCCTACTAGAAAAGGAATGATCAAAACGAGGAGCAGAAAATACAACCAGAAAAGATAGAAGAAGGTACTGATACTGGTAGATTGACAGTCGGGAAATCTATGTAATAAAATCGATCCTATTCGATAAAAGTTTTTTTATTTTTTTTATTACACTTATTGTTTATGTAGGCCTCAATTTAATTAAATCCTGACTAATATCAGGGTTCGGCTATACTACAACAAAGGTGTTATCACATGTGTTTTCACCGGCAACCATGTTATAGCTGGAGCCCATGCTGTAGTTGCATAATATGTGCATGTAGATTTTCATAGCTGGTTGCATAATATGTGCATGTAGATTTTCATAGCTGATTCATCGTTCACTTGAGTGAGAGACAGAAAGGATGGAATGGCGCGCTGAGGGAGGGGGGGGGGGGTGGATAAAAGAATACACTTTGTATGGAGAGAGTGTGTGTGTG